ACAAGGCAGTGGAGTGGGCAGCTTTTCTCTTTGGAATGGCCACAGACCTGGGCAGTGCTTCATCCGTTACTCTGTGAAGGATGAGGCTTGGCATCAGTCATCCAGAAGGAGGCTTTGATTTAAAAGAAGGAAGGGAACAGCCATGTTTGGTTTTTATTTCTTTTTTTTTTTTTAAGCTGGACACGATGGCTCTCAATTGTAATCCCAGTTCTTGGGAGGTGGAAACAGGTGAGTCCCTGAGGTTCCCTGGCCAGCCAGCCTAGCCTACTTGATGAGTTCCAGGCTAGTGAGATCCTGTCTCGAAAAACAAGGTGGATGGCTTCAGAGAAACAACATCTGAGGTTAATCTCTGACCTCTACACGTACACACAGAAACATGAACACAGCTGTGCACAAACATACATACACATACACTTACACACACACAAGAAGAATGAGGAGGAGGAGGGCGGAGGGAGAGGAGAGGAGCAAGGGAGAGGGAGGAGGAGAAAGGGGGGAGGATGAGAGGGAGAGAATGCGTAGGAGGGAGGAGGAGAAGGGGAAAAGAGGGAGGAGGAGTGGAAGAAACTGAGAGAACGAGGACAGATAAACCCACAGCAGTGCATCCAACCCAGACTGTAGCACAAGGATGGTTTTTAATTCCTCTCTAACATTTCATTTCCTCCTATTACACTGTAATTGAATGTAAAGGACCTGAGCCATCACAGCCATACTCTCTTTGGTGGACAAACCACACACAATATTTTCCTACCACGTAATGAAAACATTGGTATCTTTGTGCAATCCAGCTTTGGACAGCCTGCCTTCTTAATGCCCACCCCTGTCTCTGGGTTTATGTTCGCCAGCATTAATATTTATTAGAGGCATTAGGCTATTAGTGGGCCTGGTGTGCTTGCCTGGCTTTGTAGAGCATCCAATTTGAACACACTTGCTTGGGATAAACACTTCCTCGTGCTGGTAATGACAACAACTCAGTGCAGTGCTGAGTCTTATAAACTGGAACCTGAGTTGGAGTGAACAGCGCCTAATGCTGGGAATCTAAAGAAGGGTGGATTAACTTTCCACAGAGGGCTGGCTGCTCCAGTTTTCACCGTTGACATGGATCTACCTCAGGCACCCTCTCCCCAAAACTATATGCTCTGGGCTTGTAGTTCACTGGAAAGCTCAGAGGAGGTGGCCTGTGACATTGTCTGACTTATTTTGTATGTGTTCCTGTGTTTTTGAGTCTGTGTGGATGTCTGTGTCTGCCTATATGCATGTATGCATGATACTGTGTGTGCCTGTGTATCTCTATGTGTGTGTCTCATCTCTCCAGCAAAACACCAAATTGTTGAGTCCCTATGGGCAGAGGCTGAGTTGTGAACTTGTTTCTATGCCCCCAGCCCCAGCTTAGGATAGCCCTAGGCACTCAGGAAGTTCTTTCTTGACTGTTGTCAAGTCCAAGAAAGTATCGCTTACTTCTGCAAGGCCGATGAGTAGAATGATACTGGGATCAGAGTCATTTGTGAACACGTCCAACTGTCTGTTATACAGGGTGTGGCAAACCCGGGTTGCCTTTGGTTAATTAGTCATGGCTCGTGGCCAAAACAGCATGAGGCTGTAAGTCAGGAGACCGGAGCCTCCTCCCACTTCCCGTAACAGGTCACAGGGGCACCCCAGGATGAGTGTCTTCCCTGGTTGCAAGTCTCCCTAAGTCTCCCAAAGGGAGATACATTTGATGTCGGCAAACTTCCTTCTAGCCTCAAAGGCTTGATTCTATGACTTTATTTTACAAATGTACGCTCCTCTTATTTGTGACATAAACCCCACAGGAACAAAAAAACAAAGTCGGTAATAAATTATGAAAAAAATCAGGTGCCCTGATCATTTATACTTTCTGAGGGTGCTGGAGTCAATCAATCCCACCCCTGTACGGCAGCCTGCCTCTCCGGGGCGACAGAAGACTCAAAGCTGTCAGTGAAGCAAACTGTGCAGTGTCTCCCCGTAATTGTATTGACAGGATATCAGCCAAGTTGCTGTGGTGGGAAGGGTATATTCTGACAGGTTTTGTGAGGGAGCCTCGAAGGCTACTGTGGCAGGATTGTACGCTGAGTCTCCAGATTCTCAGGAAACAAGACTCAAGCAGGGTGAGGCAGGGTTCTTTCTCAGTTTAATTTTACGCTTCCCGGAGAGTCACACTGGAAGGAAAGCTGGCTGGCTTCACATCACTAGGCAATAGAGAAGCCCTTGCCAGTGAAAACTGTTTACATTACTTTTGTGGTTGCATAAAACACTATCTTGACTCAATTAATAGCCATTAAGGAAAGAGTTGGCTTGGGTTTCAGCAAGGTGACCGGTTGGTGACCGGTTGGTGAGTGTTTATAGAAAAAACACCTGTCTGCTTGCAGATATGAGGTTTTCCCTTTTCCTCTGGTTGGTGTGGCATCTGGAAGACATGTTTTTGAATAACTGATGCAAATACGTTCTGATAAATTCCATGGGTTTTGGAAAATACTGGGGTTGGTTTTGTTCAGTGTCTGCATTTGAAGTGGAAACTAAAAAAAAGAAGAAACAGACAAATGCTCAACCTACCCAAGAGGGGAAACAATGTGGCTGCCAGCCTCCCCCTATGGTGGAATAAGTATTTCCAGGGTGCTGTAGTCCTCTCATAGCAATGTGCTTCTTCTGGCTCAGACAAAGCTAAAATACACTTCAGTTCCCATTATTTCCTAAAGACACCCACAGGCAAGAACACTCACGGGATGAGGAAGCATTCACCCCAACAGTGAGGTCGGTAAAACTGGCAACCCCCTTAAAGGGGGTCAAGCTCAATTAAAATGACAGAAACACATTTTTTAAAAAATGTTCTCAAACCCTAACTACTTTCAATATCTCCATTTTCTTTAAAGCTCAAACCTCAAATATTCCAGAATTCAAAGCTTCTTCATGTAGAGAAAGCGGGGCAGGGATCAGTGGCCTTTAAGTCAGCTCAGCCAGAGCCCCAATGCCTTGCAGACATTTCCCCGTGCACTGGCTTCTACGCAGTCCCTGCAACAGGAAGAGGCCCAGCTCCCTCTCCACATTCTCTGTGCGCCAACTTTTGCGAAGGCTGGGTTTTGACGAAGATCTTACAGGAAGGGGTAGATACTGAATGTGGACATCATCCTGACTGCTAGCTGCCCTGCAAACACCAGGGACAGCTGGAGGGAAAGACTGCCCCCTGCTGCCACTTGAGAGCATCCAGGCTTTGTCACCAAAGACCCAGGACCAGGACCACCTGAAAACAGAACCCCATTGGTGGTCAGCCATCACCTGTACTTCTAAAGAAATGATCATTCCTAAACTCCAACTCCAGAAACAAGGATGGAATTCATCCTGGAGACTGTTCAGTTAGTGGCACCTTCAAGCCAAATGCTGCCCTTAACATAGCCAGGAGGAGAAGCAAAGGGGGAAAGGGAGGGTATTTCACACATTGTACTTACAAGCATTTTAGTTTATACATCTAAACAAATGCTAAACATACAGTGAAATACATATATATAAAACACAAATTTGTGCCACACACATATATACACGTATAAGGCACGTGCATGCCTTTATTCATATACATGTGTCACCTGGACTGGACATTACACAAGAGTTATCTGTGAAGTGGCTCTATAATCCCCTTTGTCTCATGCTTGAGTGGGACGGAACCGCACACTAGTGATGCCTGGGTAAAGCAATGTCCCAACAGCGGAGCAGCCATTAACAGGCAGTTCTCCTTGGCCTAAGACACTCAGTCCCAACTGTCTGTCCCATGTGCCTGCTGAGATCAGCACTCCAAGGAGCAAGCAAGACCTGTTCCACTGTGGAGACCCCTCAGAGGGGCTGCTGCTAGGCTTCACAGTACCTAACTTCTGACCTCCTAGTGACGTTAATTAGCCCAGAAAGGTCCAGGAGGGTCAGTGTTTTCCCATAAGTCAAGCAATGGAGCTGGATCCAGTTCTACACAGTCAAGAAAACCCAGGTTCTCCCTGGCAGTGGTGAGGCATGCCTTTAATCCCAGCACTTAGGAAGGAAGAAAGGAAGGAAGGAAGGAAGGAAGGAGGGAGGGAGGGAGAGAGGGAGGGAAGGAAGAAAGGGAAGGAAAAAAGAAAGACAGAAAGCCTAGGTTCCCTTCATGAATGAAGGGAAGAGGGAAGTTGGGGGGGAGGGAGAGAAAAGAATGAAGAAAGGAAGGGGAGGGAGGGCGAAAGGAAGGGAAGGAAGAAAGGGAAGGAGGGAGGAAAGAAGGAAGGAAGGAAGGAAGGAAGGAAGGAAGGAAGGAAGGAAGGAAGGAAGGAAGGAAGGAAGGAAGGAAGGAAGGAAGGAAGGATCAAACACCTAATCAATGCCTAAGGTCAGAGAAATCGTGATTGCTGAATCCATCTATGCACCCATCGCCCTCCCCACCCCAACCTAGGAAACCAAGACCATTTTTAGAAGCACACTGCCCTCTAGCGGCGCAAGATAAATTTGCTCCACCAAACTTCAATTTTGACTTTTTCCTTTCTCCCCGCTCGAAAAGAGGTAGAGCCACCGCCACAGTAGTTTTTAGCCAGTCCTGAAAACAGGCTAAAGCACGGAGGGCCCGCACTGAGAGGGAAGGCCATCTAGCTACAAACACTGCTCACACCTGGGTACGGCCAGGCCTCCTAGAGGTTTGTGATGAGAGCCCCGAGCACCTGCTGCACAGTAGACCAGAGGTGCTAGAGGAGGTGGGTCTTGGGGTGGCAAGGGCAGGGATGGGGTTCTTCGAGCCCCGCAGAGATTGCCCTGTCCATAGTCTCTCCCAGTCACTCCCGCTAATGGGTGCCATTTGGGGACGCTGAGGTTCAGGGACTGCCCGCGACTGCAGAGGGTCCAGGCCCGTCCCTGCCAGAGCTGGTTTCCGACACTGCACCAGAACCCTGTGGGGCCTGAAGCCAGAGAGCTCAGCAACTGGAACCCAGCGGCAGCGTCCGTGCCCGCGGAGGGAACGAGCGCGCCCGGGCGCTCACCTTGACGATGAGCGGGTTCTGAAACATGGAGTCACGCACGACCCCCAGCCTCTCGTTCTCCATGCCCGGGCGGATGTCGGCCACCGCCAGCGGCCGTCGGGGCGGCGGGCAGATCTGGCTGACCGTGCGGCGCACAGGCTGCTTCTTCTTCCATCGCGAGGGGTCTTGCCGGGTTTTCCCCAAACCAGGCATCCTGGGGGGCTCCGGGATCAGACCCTGGCTGCAAGCCCAAAGAGTTCTGCCCTGTCCGAGGACCCCAGCACCACGCGCGCGCGCGCTCCGGGCTGCACCACACGGAGCCTGGGGTGCACCCCGCGGCCAGGCAGGCTCGGAAGGGGAGCGCGGCCACCTGCGGAGCCCCCGTCCAGCGCTTAAACCTGGCCAGTTTTTCGGAGGGATTTGGGCGTCTCGCTGCAGACTCGGAGAGGGGAAGAGTGTCTAGACTACCCCTTGCGGAGAAATGGAATGGCCGGTCTCCTTGGCGACGGGACGCCAACAGTTCAAGAGTTTCCGGTTTCCTTTCCAGAAATTCTTGGCAACCACAGAGACTTTTTAGAATTGTCTTAAGTACGCCTAGAACACCGCCCCCCCCATCATTGTTGTGTGTGTGTTTTGATTGGTTGGTTGGTTGGTTTGGTTTTTGAGATAGGGGTTCTCTGTGTAGCCTTGGCTCTCCTGGGACTCACGCTGTAGACCACAGTGTCTCTGCCTCCCAGGTGCTGGGATTAAAGGTGTGAGCAACCCTAGGTTGAGTTAAAAGCGAAGAGGTTCCAGAGGGCCTTGGCTTCCACACTCTCTCCACCCACCCTACTCTACTCACAGTTGAAGAAGGAACACACACGCACACACACACACACTCCCCCGGATATCGCAACAGCATGGTCATACTGCAATAGAAACATGTATTCTAGTCTTGATGATGCCAATGCTAACCTACTGGGTGGGTCCAAGCCGGTTTCACTGTTGAATCCTTCCCCCTGTTTGTGAGGTGGGTGGAAAGGAAATTCGATGGATCAATAGTGTCTGACTGAAACCAAATGGGGGGGGGGGTGACTGAAAAACTCAGTTCCACAGGAATCATTGACTTGACTCACTGAGCAAGAACGTCTGAAGATAGACTGGAGAGAGAGCTCAGCAGGTAACGGTGCCGCCAAGCCTGGTAATCCAGCTTGACTTTCAAGACCATACGTGGAGAGAGAGAGATCCCACACCTTCAAGTTGTCCGCTGACTTCCATACGACTGCTGTGTCACATGTGAATACACACACACACACACACACACACACGTTAAAAAAAAGAAACGAGATGACTCAGTAGTTACCAGTACCCTCTGAGTACCTCACAGCAGTCAGTAGCTCCAGCACCAACCGATCTGACGCCATATTCTGGCCATTTAAGGCACCAGGTGCACACATGGCGTACAAACACACATGAAAGAAAACATCTTTTCAAATTGAATACAAGGAATTCAATAAAAGGCCCACGAGGCCCTCCCCTGGATTCCCAGTCCTTCGTCTCTGTCGCATTGCCACTCGCTGAGCGCAGCCGCATACACACTGCTGGGTGGCTCGAGACTACTCAACAATACCACAATTGACCCTGGATTAGTTCCTTTTCTGTTAGCGTGATAAAACACTGGTAAGGAGCAACTTACCAGTGGAAGGGTTTATTTGTGCTTATGGTGCCACCGGGATAGGGTCCACTGTGGAAGGCAGGCAGGCAAGCAGCACCTGAACATCCTAATCATGCAAGAGAAAGGAAGAGAGAGGAAGGGGAGAGAGAGAGCACAGTGGGAATAGCCAGAAGCTTTGAAATGCCGGCGACCTACTTCCAATACGGCTGCAGACTTCTCCAAACATCACCACCAATTGGAAACCAAGTGTTCAGAGAGATGAGGCTATTCAAACCACTGCAGGCCCTCCAGACTTCATCATGATTAAGGGCATTTTCTTTAGGGGGTATTTTTTTAAAACTCATTTCACAATTTCATACATACATATAATGCACTCTGATCACATTATCTTTGTCCCTCTCTCCATTTGCTAAACTCCCTCTTCTTGTCAACGAGTCCCTCTTCCACTTTCATATCTTATTCTGGACCACACAGTATTTAATTAGGGTTTCTGGCAAGCACGGGGGGGGGGGGGTTGGGTTAAAGTCACTCACCAGTGACTGCACACTAGGGCATAGAGTCTTCCCTGCCCCAACAACCATTAACTGTCAAGGGTGCTTCCATACATGACCACGTCCCCACCATGTTTACTGATGATGAGAGGGTATCCCTCTGCAGACTAGCTGGCTTGGAACACACAATGTCAGCCAAGCTGGCCTGGAACTCAGAGATGTCCACTTGCTTCTGATGCATGCATGCTGGAATTAAGGGCATTTGTGGTGATGCTTAGCCTGTCCACAGCTCCTCTATAATAACTTTTAAAATTTTATTTATGTATAAATAAATAAATGTATGAGTGTTTTGCCCTCATATGTGTTTGTGCACCATGTGCCTGTCTGTTGCCTGCAGAAGTCAGAGGAGGACTCTGGATCCCTGGAACTGGAGTTATGGTGAGCCACCATATGTGTGCTGGCTGTAAAAGTATTTTTATTCCTTTATTTTCCTGAGGTAAATATCATCTCAGAAGCTTACTGCCTCGGACAGTTAACCTAGGCCTTGTCCTGAAAACTCCTAGCTTCCTCCATATTATTTCCCTTTTTAGCTCTTTCTGAACTATGGCTGGCTGGTTCAGCTCAGCTGTTCTGTCTCAAACTCCTCTCCTAGCTGACTGATTGAAACTGGCTTCTCTCACGTTCTGACTGAATTGCTCTGCTTGGCCTCATACTAACTCTAGCAATCTGTTCTTAATCTTCTCGTACCTTCTCATTCTCAGGCTCATTCTGTCTTCACCTGTGTCTAGCTTGTTCTCGCTTCAAACTGTCAGTGTAAAACTTTCCCAGTGAGCTGGGTGTAGTGGTGCATGCCTGGTAAATCCCAGCACTCTGGGTGGCAGAGGCAAGCAGATCACTGTGAGTTCAAGGCCACCCTGGTCTACAAAGGAAGTCCAGAACAGCCAAGGCTGCACAGAGAAACCCTGTCTTAAATAAACAAAACAAAATCCTCTCCCAGGAAAACTGCCTCTGAATTCCACAAACTGATCTGCCAAGAACTCAGCTCCACTGCACTGCCTCTAAACCGGTTGACTCCACCAAACTGCCTGAACAGGACTAGAACCCAGAGCTCTACAAGCCTCTGTCTTCTGAGTGCTAGGATTAAAGGTATGTACTACCACACCTGGGCTTAACCTTCTCTTTACCTAAAACTTGCCATATACCAGGCTGGCCTTGAACTCAGAGATCTGTTCTCTGTCTCTCTGTCTCTCTGCTCTCTGTCTCCTGTGTCTGTATTCCAGCAAGATTACACAGACCTAGAAGGTCTTTGGATGTGATCTCTTTCCAGAGCAGCCATGTTCCTCTACAGCTGGGTCCTCGGCAAGAGCAACAAGTGTTCTTAACTAATAAGTTATCTCCCCACCTCCATGTCCATGGATTTTAATGTGCTGAGGTAATGGTGTCTAACATGCAGTCCATATGCAAATTTAACAATTCTTTTTGTAAAATGCTTTATTTTAGTTTACCTGTATGGGTTTTGTCCTACATGAATGTAGGACACATGAACACACATACATGTGAGTTCATCGATCCATCTTCAGCACCTTCATTAAATGTGGAAATACCCACCTCCACAGGGAGCAAGCTGCACGGACAGCCAATGTGAACATCAAGGCTTCACCTAGCAGCAGTGGGCACCGTCAAGTACCAAAGCCGACAACTTAGACATCCAGCTGCTCAGGGGAAGCCTGACACAGACCACAGACTGGGTACTTCCAGACGGCTGCACTACGTAACCCAAACCTCCTGCCTCAGCCTTACACGTGCTGGGAGTACAGGCATTTGTTACCACGCCTGGCAGAGTTGCACTTTTAAGGTTCATTTTTAGTGTGTACGCAGGTTTTGCCTGTGTGTGGCATGTATGTGTACCATGTGCATGCCTGGTGCCTGAGGAGGTCAGAAAAGGCTCTTGGATCCCCTGGGACTGGAATTATGGGTAGCTGTAAGCCACCAAGTAGGTGCTGGGAATTGAACCTGGGTCCTGGAAAAGTAGTAAGTGCTCTTAACCACCAAACCATCTCTCCAGCCCCTTTTAATCAAAGGTGCTTAGCAGCTCACCCAGAATAATTCACAACAGTTTGAAGAAAGGCAGAATAGCAAGGCAGAGGAAAAGGTGTGGGTTGGAACCCTGGGTCTGATAAGTCATCTTATCAGGTTGCCAGAAAGCCTCAGTTTTCTCATTACAAGATGGGACTGACACAGCATTGCCTAATAAAGATACCTACAACATAGGATTGTTAAAAGAGTAAATGAGCAAACTTACAGGTTTTAGGCTGGTCTGTAGCTCAGTTGGGACAGTGCTCGTTCAGCATGCACCAGGCCTGGGGTCAGTCCCCAGCACAATATAAAACCGGTACCCGTCAGTTGTTTCAGTACTGAAAGTAGAGGGAAGGAGAATGAACTTCAACACCTTCAGCAACACAGTGAGTGTGAAGGTACCCTAGGCTACAAGAGACCCTGTCTCAAACAAACAAAACAAGAAAGAACCTTTCGGCTATCATCACACAAAAAGCTAGAAGCTAGGGTGGTCTAGATAATGGCTCTTAATTGATGGCCCAATTAAAGTTTTTTTGTTTATTATTTATTTACTTATTTATTTTGGCTTTTCAAGAAGGGAGTTTCTCAGTGTAGCCTTCTCTGACTCTGTACATGTGGCTGGCCTCAAACTCAGAGATCTGCCTGCCTTTGCCGCCAAGTGCTGGACTGCTTTTTTGTTTTGTTTTTGTTTGTTTTGTTTGTTTGAGACAGGCCTCAAACGTGCTATGTGAGTTAGACTTGCTTCGAACTCACATACATCAGCCCCTGCTTCTGGAGGGCTAGGATTTGCCTTTGCCTACTTTATCTTATATATCCCTGTAGCGTCAGGACTACAGACTACTCAGGCGCCCAATCCTAGCAAGCCGCTTTTTATGGCAGCCGGACGCGCGGCGAGCCGGAAGTCGGTAAAGTACTTCCGCCTTTACAGCACTTCCGGGTTTGAAGACGCGGGCCACAACATCGCGGGGTAGGTTGGACGGACTTTTGCTGAGTTTCTGGCTCGCAGGTGTGGCAGGCGGCTGCGCGCTGCGGCCTCGCTGAGCATGTCCCGAAGCAGATCTGACCGTTCCTCGCCGCCGGGGTCTGTGGGCTGGCGGGGGGAGGTCTCAGGATCCTGGCCGCGGCCTGCGGGATCCTTCCGGTCCGCTCCTGGGGTCGCCGTCCTGGGGCAGAGCAGGGTCAGGTACAGCCCACAGGTGGTGTGCGGAGCTTTCGTGGGGCCAGAAGTGCGGAATTAAGTGCTTTTCCGCTTGTTAGGTGAGGCGGAGCGCATCTCGGCTGTGGATAGTACGCCTGGGGAAGCTGCCGGACCTTTTGGGTAGTCTGTGCGGAATGGAGGGGGCACCCAGTTAGGAGTCAGCGAGGGTTCCTTGGTGAAAGTGGCTTGTACGCTGAGGCCAGTCACCGGGCAGAAAGGCGTCGCGAGGTCTCATAGGAAATCGGGGCTTTGTTCTTTCCAAGGACAGAGGATGCCAAGGGACCTCACATCACACAAATGAGAGGCAGGGGCAAGAGGCCATGTCAGGAGGAACTGAAGGCCCCAGAGATCTGGGAGGATGTTGACTTATCTGAAGAATAACAGTTATTGAGCAAGTGGGAAAACTTACTGCAGTAGCAGGAGCTTAAATTGCTAGCTTCCCCACTCACACCCTTTCTCCTGGACATTTAGTGAGGATAAATAAAATAGTTGAGCTCTTCTGCATAAATCCTTCCAATTCCTCAAGAGAGGGTAAGGGTGTGGGGAGATAGCTGAGAGCACCTGTTGCTTGGGCAGAACACCTGGGCCTGGTTCTCAGCATCCAGCTCTAGATAGTGACTCATATATAACCATCTATAACCTAAGTTCCAGGAGCCTCCCCGAGCACCCAGCAGATGGGTGGGGCACATGCAGACAAAACATCTCTACACAAAAATATAATAAATCTTTTTTTTTTTTTTTTTTTTTAATTAAAAGCATGGTTCAGAAGGGTGGCAGTAATTGTTAGCAAAGGCGCCTCAAGGTCCTGGCAGAAATTCATCTGGGGCTGAGAAAGAGCTCAAGAGCTGCAAAAATCAAAAAACAAAACAAAACTAACTAAATGTGTTGTAACAATATGGATGTGGAGGAAAATAGGGAAACTGCCTTCTAAAGATGACCCCTGGAAGGGTCAGGAACCAGGGGAGCACTGGGGCTGTTGCTCAGTGAGGAGTGTTTGCCTACCCAATTTTAAGTGCTCAGTAACCTGAAGGCTAGTAGCTACCATAGGGAGCAGCCAGATCTAAAGAAACAGAACTGATTCTGGGTAGTGTTCTGGTCCCTGCTGTAATTAGAACACAGCCCATCTGCCTGCTTGTGAGTTTTCCCTCATCTGTTCTCAGTAGCACAGGGGCAGCCAAAGAGAAAGCATTAATTCATGTCAAAAAAATAAAAATTACTTAGCAGAACCGGATTAGGTGCTAGGGCTACAGTGCTTTTGTAAGACTGTCTGCTAGGCCTTTAATAGCCCTTGTGCACTCCTGCTGTGTGTCAGGAAACCTGGAAAAGCCTTTGAACAGGTCAGGTGCATCTCTGGGTGTCATCTCTAGGTGGTACTTTTCCAGCTGGGTGACGGGGATGAAGGTCTAAAGCTCAGGCTCCCATCGAAGGTGAAGGACCTGCCTTGTAGGTGAGAATTCAAGCATTTTTTCATGGCCCCTTCCCTCCAAAACACAGTCCTTACAGCTGCCATATACTATTCAGGATAAATTAGGTGCCTTCTATAGGGAAGGTGCTCAGCATCCAAGTTGGTTAAAACCACTGCTGCAGAGAGGAAATTTGGTCTGCTAGTAAAAACAAAGTACAGGTCAGAATGTCGAGATTCTGAAAAGAAATAAGAATACACTGTTTTAGGCTGGGTGTGGTGGTGCGTGCCTTTAATCCCAGCAGTTGGGATCTCTGAATTCCAGGTCAGCCTGGTTACAGAGCAAGTTCTAGGACAGATGAGGCCACACAGAGAAATCTTGTGTGTGTGTGTGTGTGTAAGAGTTATGTACAACATAAGTATACTACCTTTTCAAGGGTAAATTCTAAATACCAGAGCCCAGAATCAATTTAGATTAAGGAGAGGAATAAGGAATGATTGTATGTAATTCTGTATGCACTAGAGAGGAGGGTTTGAGGCAGGGTCTCAGAATCCCAGGCTGCCCTCAAACTTAACTGTGTAGCTGAGAAGGCACCTTCTGCCTCCGATTCTCAATGCTAGGTTCCAGGTATTTGCAACTACAGCAGATTTATAAGCAATCACTTTACCAGCTGAACTACATCCCTACCCCCTGTTAATGTATTTATTCCAAAATATGTACACCTGTATGTCAGTATATTACCCTAATATATTACAGAATTGTCTTGTTTTGCTGGTCACTAACAAGGCACATCTAACCTTATCAAAAGCCAGTGACCCTCTGTGAGGTCTGTGGATATGTAATGATGCCAAGATGAGGCTCATGTCACTCTAATGAAGGGCTGGGTCATGGCTTCCAGGTAGTGGAAATAGAGCAACACATATAAACTGCCTTCCTTTGCAGGAGCTGAACGAGCTAGCAGAGGAGATAGACGTTGGATGACTGAATGGCCAATTGCTAATTTTTAAGTTATAAGTGCTAGGAAAGAAGCACAGATTGCTGTGAGGGAATGAAGAAAGGAAGCTTTCCTTTTTAAATATAATCCTTGGATTCTTTGAGGATTTTATATTGTGTAATTTGATCATATTCATCCCCACTATCTCCCTAGCTCTTAGTTTCACCCCCACCTGCCCTCCCCAATTTCATGCCCTCTTTCTGTTTTGAAAATAGCCCACCCAGTCAAGTTTGTGGTGCCATATACTCTGGGTGTGGGCCATTCACTGGGAGCAGGTCAGTCGACCAGGGACCACACCCTTAGAGACAACCGACTCTCTCTTCCCCAGAAACCTGTATCGCCTCAGTTCGGAGAGAGCTCGTTAGCCGCTCCCCCTCCACCTTTGAATATTGACTGGCTGGATATTGTGCAGGGAGTTATAAATGCAGCAGCTCTATCCTGTCCAGAAGTCGCTCCAGTTCCCTTGGGCTCTTAAAATCTTTTTCTGAGATGGTCACTGAGCCTTGGAGGATGGGCCAGGGATATAGTTGTCCGATTTGTGACGGAGCACTGCACTAACGCTTGTTCTCTGTCCTTTGACTAGTTGTGAATTTCTGCACCATCTGCTCTCCACTGCACAAAGAAACTTGGTCTGTTGAGCTCTGAGAGCTACGCTAATTTATGGGTGGAGAGGCACAAATGTAGAGGCAGTTTGATGCTGTGTCCATTAGCAGAGTCATAGTGGTAAGTTCACCATGGAGCCTGTGAGCTAACCGTGGGCTCTTGGCCAGATTTGCAGTACCAAGCATGTTTGCTCCTATGGAGCAGGCCTTAAATCCACCCAGAAAGCAGTTGGCTACCCTAACACAATTATGCCACTGTTGCACCCTTGGGCACAACTTGCCATGCAGCCCATTTTAGTTCAGAGGGCTCACAGCTGGGTAACATTGGCATTTTTTCCACTCAGCAACCCACATAACACCTTCTGATACTATGAAAGCTAGCCAGGAGAGAGGAAGTTTCCTTAAAGAAGTGACCTTCCCTCCAGGTGTTGTGATGTACTACTATGCCTGTAGTTCTGGGACTGGGGAGATGGGGATGGAAGGACTGCAGCCAGTGTTGGGCCAGCCTGGGCTCTGTAGCAAGACCTTGTCTCCAAAAACAAAGCAAAGCAGCCTTCTAGCCAAGCTCATGGGCAGGCTATAGAGCAGCCAGGGGTCGGGGGTTGGGGCAGTACAGATCCCAGGGAGAGCCAGGAAAGGACTAGGCATGTTGGGAAAACTGCAGCAAGCACACACCATAGAAGAACCTGTGAGTGGCATGTGGTCCGAGGCTGGGTAGGGCAGTGTTATTGTCTGTAAACTAGGAGGTAGGGGTATGTGTGTGCGCACATGCGCACCCATAAAGGCAATGGAACTAGTCAAAGTGGCTCACAGTGAATTCCTGTATATTTTGAATAGTACAAAATTTATACTTAGGCTTGTCATTTGTCATACGGTTTGTTTGACTGTGCCATCACCCCTGCCCCCAGACTTATGTTTAAAATGCTAAAATAAACCGTTGTCACACTTTCCTAAAGAAATAGGATGGAAGGAGACTCAAGCAAATTTAAAACCCACACTGCGGTATTTCACAAGAAAAAGAAATGGTCTTCTGTGTCTGAAGAAAAACCCCAGAAATGGGCTCATGAGAACTTGGAAAGGGAGCATCCTCGATTGTCCAAGCTGGGGAAGAGGAAGAAGAAGAGGAAAGAGTCCCAGACTCCAGCCCAGGAGAGCTTAGAGAGTGAGCAGCCTCGGAAAGCCAAGAGGAAGAAGAGGAAAGAGTCCCAGACTTCAGCCCAGGAGAGTTTAGAGAGTGAGCAGCCTCGGAAAGCTGAGAGGAAGAAGAGGAAAGAGTCCCAGCAACTTACTTCTTCCCTTCTGAAAAATTCAGAAAATTTCCATAAAATCAAAAAAACCACTTCTACCCACAAAAAGAAAAAGAGAAGTGTTTGGGAGGTGGATGTGGAAACAGGGATCATCCTTGTAAATAAAGAAAACATGGAGAAGCTGCCAGAGAGTTCTCGGAAGGATGTGGATATTGTTTATATTGATGTGGACAAGAGACAAAAGTCAGCAAAAGCAGGTGAAACAGAAGAGCAGCCCACTGCTGGATTGCAGAGACATGACTATCAAGAGCTGCACAGTGATGTTAGGAGCAAAAAGAAGCAAAAACATCCAAAGAAAGCTGCATCCTGGGGTGGCGTGCGGGGAAGCCAGCCTGAGAGCATCACCTTGCCCCAGTCAGAATCTTTGTTGTCTGTGGATCTAGAAGGCAGAAGCACAGAACTAGCAGTGTTTCATAAAAAGAAGTCTAAGAAAAAGATGTTGAGGAGCCAGGAATTGGAGGCCATCCCTGGGAGTCTTGATAGTACACACCCTGCAGGAGAGGTTGGGACTGGAGAAGATGATGAGAGGGTCAAAGAGCCCCACAGTATCAGGAAAAAGTCTAAGAAAAAGAAGTGTGCATCTAATGTTCTTGCCAGCTCTAGTGACAATGCCTCAGTGCTTGACAACGCTAAGAATGCCCTCATGTATTCACCAGAGGACAGTGACACTTTGAGGGAAGAGGATGTGGACTACAGGCCAAGGATGGCAGAAACCCAGGCTTTTTCCAGCCAGAACCATGGGGAAGAGATGCAGAGGTAAGGTGGGAATGCAGTGTGTCTTCTGTGTGCAAAGGAAAGAGAGAACTTCTTCCCCCTGTTTCCTGTTTGTTTTTGTGGCCCTAGCTGTCCTGGAACTCACTGGCTTTATAGACCATGGTGACCTCACAGAGATCTGCTTGCCTTCTGCTCCTGAGTACCAGGATTAAAGGCTTTCATCACCACCCCCAGCCAGAAATTTTAGGACTATCGTGCATGTTTAATTGAGCAGATAACTGAGTCTCTTCATATGTAGAAGAAGGTAGTTAAATTAGATTTTCACTGAGATCTGTTCTACCAGATTCTATAAGTTTGAGCTGGTTTAGGACTTCCCAGTCCCCTTTGTCAAGCAGTGTGTTTGAACATAAGGACTACATACATTATACTGGGATTCTGCAGACCAGCCAAAGCTTGAATCTCACACAAGGATGTAGCTATCATTACTTACCTAATGCTTTGTAAGTGACTGTCTAATGAACTGGAACAGGGAGGCTTTTCCACTTACCGATCCTGGACTCTGGACAGATTTTTCTCTTAGCATTTTCACTCAGTAACTTTTTGTGTTTGTTCAGTAGTTCTGACTTAGAATTGCTACACATGAGTGCTAAATGTTAAATGCCACGTGGGATGGAATTGATAACAGGTATGAGTCATTCACACTGTTCTCTACTATCTCACTGGGGACATTGTCGGTACATTGACCGTGAGGCAGGAGTATGCTAGGGCTGTAGCTTTAGCTTTCCTTTCCCTCTGAAAGCCACTAACATGCCAACAAGTAGACAGGAGAGTTGAGTTTTCAGTCTGACTGATGTGCCTGAAAACATGCTTAGGCTGATAGAGTCTCGCATCCACTGAAAAACTGGGGAAAGCAATTGGGACGGATACACACACACACACACACACACACACACACACACACACACACACAAAACTGAGGAAGAAATGAGGTGCCTAGCCTGTGCAGCAGAAACAGCCACAGCTGGGTAGACCCTGACCACTGACTAACCAGTTAGGAGCCAGTGTATTCTATAACTCAACTCATTGGGAGGTCTGGGGGAAGTATATGATTCTCAGAGAGATCAAAGAGGACTTTATTTACAAAAGCCAAGGGTAAGAAAAAGCAATAAACAAATAATAACCAGTCTAATCTAATCTAGTCAAGTTGCTAAAGAGTTTGAAAATTAGCGACTGAATGGCTCCCAGGTGCAGTGGCTCCAGGTTCAGCACTGTTCTGGACTGAGACCCATTCAGCTGCAGAGCTGACTGTTGGTAACCCTTAGCTTACGACCTCCCCATGAAGAAGAAAGCAATTTGGAAACAGCCAGCAGTTCTGCAATGAGATACATATCTGAAGATGGTGGAGATTCTGATGAATCTGATGTGGATTTGGGCTCTGCGGTGAGGCAGCTCCAAGAATTCATTCCCGACATACAGGAAAGGGCAGCCACCACGATCAGACGCATGTATCGGGATGACCTGGGGCGCTTCAGAGAATTTAAGGCACAAGGTAAGCTTTCCGGTGTGCATGACGGGCAGCGGCTGCTCTCGAGTGACTTGGATTGGTGGGGAAGCATCCTTTAAACGGATTTTAGAAACCAGGCATGGTAGCACACAACTGTAATCCCAACACTTGGGAGACAGAGGCAGGTGGATCTCTGTGAGATCGAGGGCAGTCTGGTCTACAAAATGAGTGCAGGACAGCCAAGGCTACACAGAGAAACCCTGTCTGGGGGGAGGGCGAGGTTAGATCTTAGAGGCTTTAGATGTAAGACTGTGTGCCACAACTGAACAGTACTTATCGAGCAATTGCTCACTGAGGAAGGTTAAAAGTCGCCTTTTAAACATGTTTCTTCACTCCCCAGATTTATCATGCCTGATAACGTACAGCATACGGACTCTTTCACACAAGTATGCGCTATACATTGAATGAAAGGCTTCTGACTTTGGGAGCCAAGGCAGTTGAGAATAGAAATAAATGGGTTAAGCATACACACCCCCAGCACCTCACATGGACAGAGTCACAGAGCAGTGTCTTGGGGCCTGCTTTGCTGTACTCTGTGTTGAATCTTGTAGACCAGGCTGAGCTCAAGCCCTCAATCCTCCTGCATCAGCTTCCCAAGTGCTGGAATGAACAGTTGTGCATCCCCATACCTGGCTCCACTTCTAAGTTACTGGGTTATTTATTTGATTTTGCCAGTATGAGTGTATGTATTATAACAAACCTAAAACAGGGCTGAGGATACAGCCCAGTTGTTGGTAGAGAACCAAACCAGCACTCAGTTTGATTCCTAGAATCCACATAAACTGAGTGTGCTGATGCATGTCTGTAATACCAGCACTCAGGAGGTGAAAGCAGGAGAATCAGAAGTTCAGGTCCATCCTTAGCTACAGCCTGAGCTACATGAGACCCTGTCTCAACCAACCAAAACACCTGAAACCTATCAGGTAAACTAGAACAATGCACTGCTCACACAGTTGATCCTTAGTGATTGCATAAGGAACAGGAGTTCATTGTAAACTGTATTACATTTTGTTGACCTACCCTGATTCACATGTATAGAAAGCCTGTGTTCATTGAGAAGCCCCTGTTAGCCCCTGTGAATGCCACTCTCAGGGATTTGAGTGGTATGGTAGTGGGGTGAGACTTCTTTTAGATTCTTCTTCAGTACTTTGGATTTCTCATGATTGTCTGTTGCTTTTTAATATAACTATCTTAAAGAGATCGAGGAAGCAGGCAACTCACTGTGGAAGAGGATGTCTGGAAAGACTTGGAAACGAGATACAGCTTAGGCTAGAATTGAAGATGGGATTTGGGTTGCCTCTCAGTGCCAGAGATACCAGTGGGCTGCTCCTGCAGGCTGGCCCTGCTGGCCTTGGTATTCTGAATACAGCAGGTTTTCTTTAGGGCTGAGGGGATGCTCAGTTGGTGAAGTGCTTATTGCACAAACATGACCTGAGTTTTGTTCCAGAATCCATGTAACAAAGTAGAGCATGATGACATGTGCTTGTGACCCTAACACGGGAGAGTTGAAGACAAGATCCAGCCAGTAATAGTATATGTGCAGCCAGTTACAGGAGAACCTATAATTAAAAAAGGTGGATCAGAAGATAACACCTGAGGTTGGCCTGTAATCTCCACACGTGTCTAGACACACACACACGCACACACGTACACAAACACACACGCACACGTGTGCTTAGAAATAAATATGGTGGGTTTGCTTCTTCATTATTGACAGTATGCACTTTACTCCCTCACCCCAACTCTAGGTGTTGCTATTAGATTTGGCAAATTTTCTGTTAAAGAAAATAAACAAATAGAAAAAAATGTACAAGAATTCCTGTCCCTGACTGGAATTGAGAGTGCAGACAAGCTGCTGTACACAGACAGATATCCAGAGGAAAGGTCTCTGATCACCAACTTAAAACGAAAGCATGCATTCAGACTGCACATTGGTAAGTGGAGAAATGGCCTCAAGCCACCCCCCTTCCTACACCTACCCACAGTCCCCCCACCGTGCAGCACGGGCTTCTAAGTGGTGGGCTTTATGCCAGATCCCTGCTAGTGGGGTACTGCTGAGAAAGTTAGGAGTTCCGTCCGTCTCCCACAACAGCCCAGATTGTACACAGCAGGGTTTTAAAAACAAGACACAGAGTTGGGGTGAGAAGAAAGGAGGGGGTGGATCTTGGAGGAGTTAGGGTGAATATAATCAAATACAGTGTATAAAATTCTCGAAGATAACACTTTTAGAAAAGATCAGTAAGTGGTAACAGATCCCTCATGAAAGAACCTTTTTTGAATTAGAGGATGGTAATTTCCCAGGTGTTTTCAGACTACACAAGGGAGCAGGAAGTGAGGAAGTCTTGGCTGGGAGAAGGTCTCAAAAGAGCTTAGTGCCCCTCAGATCATGCTGACCTGGCAATCCAGTGAGGGCCTTGAGTGGAGCCAGAATCCGGGGTACAGCATTCCTGAAGTCAAAGTCAGCCATGTCTGACAGTGAAGGCGTGTGAAACCTCAGCCTCTGCACACTGCCGCACATACCTTAATCGTGATACAGAGGGCTCCACTGGGTTGCTTTAGCATCTGTGAACATGCCTCATGCTGGCTACATGCCACCTCTGACCCTGTCTTCTAATTCTATAGGGAAAGGCATCGCTCGGCCCTGGAAGCTTGTGTACTATCGTGCAAAGAAGATATTTGATGTGAATAATTACAAAGGCAGGTAAGAAAGTCTCACTGCTTGGGCCAGAACTAGTTCTGATGTCAAGAACAAAATATCTACAGCCATGAGTGAGAGATGAAGATCACAAAGATTTCTGCCTTGAAACCATCTAGGGATTGGTTAGGTATATGCTTTTAGATTCATTTTCATTCCAACTTCTTTAGTAAGCCTTCTGGAATTTTCTGTTGCCTGTGTCCTCTTTGTCCATCCCTGGACTTCAGCCCAGGTCAGCTGTGTATCTTACTGTGTCTCCTGTCTGCTCTGCTCTCTGCTGCACAGTGTGCTGCATCCCCAGCTCAAAGGAAGTTTGCTGTCATGTTAATCTCATTAATACTGAGTGATGTGAAGTATTCCGTGTGGGGCGTGAAGCATGGCTGAGTGGCTCTCGAGATGTTTTTGGTTGACGGCAGGCAGCACTGGTCTAGTAGTGTGATGCAGCGGTCCACAGATGCTGCTGCAGGCCTAGACCAGAGCAGGAAGGGACACTCAGAGGGGAGCTCAGCCATGTAGCTAGTGCAGCGCTCCCTGCTGAGTACCATTTCGGTGGCAGTCCAGGTAGGTGGAGACAGCCATGTCAATCCAGCACAGAGGCTGTGAGATAAGAACAGGCCTAGATGGTTTTTTCTGGCTAATAAGCTACCGAGGAAGCCTCTGCCTCTTTCAGCAGTGACTGGTGGCATGACTACCACTGAAATGTAGACATGGGCAGGAAAGGCTCTAGCTGTGGATAGGAGGGTCATGGTTTCCTGTCAGTGCTGCCTCAGGCTTTTCCAAAGTACTACCATGAGATGCCATTTTAGAGTTGGACTTCATTAAACCTAACGACTGTTTTTCTTCTTTCAGATACAATGAAGAAGATACTAAGAAGCTGAAGGCATATCATTCCCTCCATGGAAATGACTGGAAAAAGATTGGGGCCATGGTGGCCCGAAGCAGCCTCTCGGTCGCCCTGAAGTTCTCTCAGATTGGTGGTCGTAAGTGGTCTGTTTCACTGTAAAAGAAGCCATGACTGAGCCAGTGTGCAGAGGTCTCTGTGGGCCATTCTCAGTACATGCTCCTTTACTTTTCTCATTTAGTTGTTACTTTAATCTTTTTAGAGCCCAAGCCCAGTCCCCTCTTGTTTGTGCTTCTTTTTACGATGTTGTCTGTACTAGTTCATTTGGCTTTTTCGTGTGCATACTGACCATTCCTCAGTTCCATACCCTGTAGCCTGAATCTGTCTGCTTATGCTGGACCTTCCAGAAGCAGGTCTCAAGGGAGCCTGTGGAAGGGAAATGTGCAGCTACTTTGTCCCAGAAAGGTGGGCCTTAAACTTAGTAGAGTGGCACACACCTTTAATCCCAGCACTCAGGAGACAGAGGCAGGCATATTTCTGTGAGTTTGAAGCCAACCTGGTCTGCATATTGAGTTCCAGGACACCCAGGGCTACACAGAAACCTCTGTCTCAAAAATAAAAATAAAAATAAAAATAAAAATAGCTGTTGTCAGTTATTTTAAGTTCGTTTGATTGAGCTGTTGCCCATTGTTTCTGGAAAGGGCCTGTTTTATCATCTCCTTTTTAAGCAAAATAGATGAGCAACCTTTTATGTGATCCTTTTATGTCTGCAGATAGAAACCACGGTGCTTGGAGTAAGGCAGAAACTCAGAGACTAATCAAGGCTGTGGAGGAAGTGATCCTAAAGAAAATGTCTCCCCAGGAGTTAAGAGAACTGGATTCTAGACTCCAGGAAGACCCTGAAGGTCGCCTGTCAATTGTCCGGGAAAAACTCTACAAGGGCATATCATGGGTGGAAGTGGAAGCTAGAGTGGAGACCAGAAATTGGATGCAATGCAAAAGTAAGTGGTAAGTGTGAGGCTTTCTGTGTATTAAAATAGGTACTCTCATTTGTCTGGCCCGGGTAAGAGGTGTGCACAATGGCTGTGCACAACACACAGGTCAGGTGCTCCAGCCCCTGTGCACCTCAGTTTGCCTTGATTGACAGTGTGCAGGTGTGGAGCAGCTTGCATGCATGCAGGGGCTTAGTTCTTCCTCATTCAGAACTTAAAAGACAGGCTTGGTGGTGCCACCTCTGAATCCAGTACTCAGGAGGATCTCAAGTTTGGGGCCAGCTGAGCAGTAGAGTGAGATGGACTGTGACTCTTGACTACATCTTTACTAAGACAGCAAGAACATTTTTTTTTTTAAATTAAAACAGCTTCAAAGAGTATCCTCCATACGCCATACTGTGCTGAGTGACCCCAGAAGTTACAAGTCTGCAGCACTGAAACAAATGACAGAAATTGAGATGGAAATCCAGGGATGTCAGAGCCTAGCTAACGTCGTCGCCTAGCGTGATTTCAGTTCTAGGTCAGCAGTTCTCTGGGCTTCTCTGTAGTGCAGTAGTTGTTGTCATGCTGAGCTAGGTTCCTCAGTGCCAGTTTCTGTTCCCTTCTGGCTGCGTGTCCTCTACCTGCCCACTTTCCAAGCCCTGGAGGGTGGAGCCTTCAGCTGCAGCTGACTAAAGCAGTCATCCCTCATGGGCCAGACTCAATACAGTGTCCAAGTGTGACCCTCACCCTCCAGATGAGAGTAAAATCCAAGAGTATTTTACAGTAAAAATAGACTCCTGGATTATACTGTCTGTGCACCTTTTGATGTTGTTTCATACATTTGGGTGCCTTGTTTTGGTTTTGTTCTGGGGCTCAGACCCAGGATCAAACACATGCTACGTAAGCACTCCACCACTGAGCTAAGCTCCTGGCCCAGTGTGTGTTTACCAGACATCTATGCTCAGGGGAAAGAAACTCCAAAGAATAGATAATGTTGGGAGTATGTAAGGTATGAACGAAGTGTGTAAAATAAAATACAGTTTTTTTCTATCACCCATTCTATCTCCCAAATAATGACATGGAGACCTATTATATATATATATATTTTTTTAATGTTTTAAAGCACTAAGCTGGACAGATATTCATTTATTCTAACCTATCTATTCTGGTCTAGACTATTTCCCAGCCATGTGCCTTGGTACCTGCCATCTAGTCTCACCCTGGCTGCTCCTGCTCCATCTTTGTCCTCCTGCAACCTGGCTTCATTTTCCTTGACTTTCCCTTCTCCTCCTACCTGGGATCCAAAGTCCAGTCCTAACTCTCTTGGGCTGATCAGCTTCTTTATTAACCAATCAGAGATAATGAAGAACAACATTTACACAACATTGAGACAGGAAATTCTTTACAGCTATGACAGTACCCACATCCTGACAGAAATCAGCATCTAAATACACAGTGCATAAGACCGTCCCCCAACAAAAGTGGAACCTTTTCAATATTTTAAGGTGCAAGAGAGTAGGTTCTGAGCTGGAGAGTGATATGTCAGTGTTGGAAAGGGGAATGATTGAGGGCTGTGCTGCTCCAGAAACAACGTAAGATGTACAAATAAGATCCTCAGGGTTGGAGAGAGGTTCTGATGTTAAGAGCACTGGCTGCTCTTCTAAAGGTCCTGAGTTCAGTTCCCAGCAACTGTTGTGCCTGAATCACAATACCCCACCAAGACCACCAATAGGAGAACACATGAGGATCTTTTTATTACAAATTACAAGCTGCAGCTTGGGCTCACACCCCATCCCACCCCCCATTGCTGAAGTGGTGAGAACTGAGAACCCCGTGATCAGGTTAGTTGAGTGATTTAAAGATTCTGGTCCCTCCCAGCATGCCCAAAGCAGGGGCGATATTTGCCTGGCAAGCATCTATTGGTCAAAATGCTGCATTTTGACTTGATTGGCTATAGGAAGGTCCCCAAACCATTAATGATCTGGTGTCCCTTCCTAGGGGGATGGGCCAGTTTTCAAGCAACTGTATCTCTAGTGGGTAGGGAAAGAATGCAGTAAGGTGAGTTTTTCCCCTCGGGCATTACTGGACTTCTCCACCCAGCTAGCCTTAGTTCAAGTCTTAAACTTTAAAATAATAGCCACCGATTTTTTTAATTTTTTTGGTCTCTCACAACCACATGGTGGCTCACAACCATCTATAATGAGATCTGGGTTTCTCTTCTGTCGTGCAGACATACATGCAGGCAGAACACTGTATACATGATTAGTAAATAAATCTTTAAAAAGAAAAAAAAAAAATAGGATCCTTAACCCCTGAGCAGGTCGTAACTTGAAATGAGCTCAAGAATTGTGTTTAACCTATAACTGATGGTTGGTCAAGAAGAGCAGTGTGGATTAGCTGTGTATGTGTTATAGATGGCAGTACAAGCCTGTCATCCCAGTTCTCAGGAGGCTGAAGGCAGGGACCTTAAGAGTTCAAGGCCAGCCTGGAGCACACCGGTAATTCCAGCACTCTGGAGGCAGAGGCAGGCAGATCTCTGTGAGTTCAAGGCCAGCTTGGTCTAAAAAGTGAGTCCAGAAAAGCCAAGGCTATTCAGAAAAACCCTCTTTCAAAAAAACAAAACAAACAAAATGAGTTCAAGGCCAACCTGGGCTACATAGGGAGACATTGTTCGAAAAAGCAAGGAAGACAAGAATAAGGGGGAAAATGAGGGAAAGGGACATGGAAGAAGTGATCTGTCAGGCTGGTGCTGATAGCTGCCAGTGCTCTGACTGGCACATAAGCAGGTAGTCCTTTCCTCCAGACACTAGGAGGCAGCAAGCACACCAGTTCTCACTAAGTTTGGCGTTGGTGTAAAGAGGCTAGTGATGGGAACAAGAAAGTCACCTGTTTTGTTGTTGTTGTTGTTGTTTGTTTTTAGATTTATTTATTTGTATTTACATGTCTGGGTCTTTTTCCCTGTATATATGTCTGAGCACTACACGCATGCTTGGTGCCCTCTGAGGTCAGAAGAGGGCATTGGATCTCCAGAAACTGAAGTTACAGATGGTTGTGAGCTACCATATGTGTGCTGGGAATTGAACTGGCTCCTCTGGAAGAGAAGCCAGTGCTCTTAGTTGCTGAGCCATCTTCTCCAGCCCCAACAGCAACCTATTTGTAAGCAGCCACAAGAACATTTGCATGGTGTCCTTCAGCACTTGTAAATAGGCTTGTTCCTTTTCTCTCAAAATTTTCTTTTATTGGGCTGAGGAGATGGCCTGGTGGGTAATGCATAAGGACTTGAGTTCAGATCCCCAGCACCCAGGTAAAAGCAAGATGTCTGTAACCTCAGCACTGGGGGTGGAATGAGGGATGGAGACAGACAGATCCCTGGAGCTCATTGATTGACCCTGGCTCCAGTCAGTGAGGTCCAAGTTCAGTGAGCAGCTATGTATCAAACAATAAGTTAAAGCTCAGTAGCGGACAGCCACTGTCAGCCTCTGACCTCCACACACTTGGGAACACACACACACACAGAAACACACAATTTTCAAAGCAAAGCAGTCAAACCTCTTTGCCATCGATCAAACCATATTCAGATCCTGGATTGCTCCCTAATTGATACTGCATTAACAGTTCCAAACTATAGGCTTAAAGTCTTTACAGAGAAGGTCACGTACTCTGTGGGAAGAGCAGGTCCAGGGTGAAGTGCTGCCTCAGTCACTAGGAGACATAGTTCGCTGCAGCACAGTGGCCGCTTCTTAGTCCTCTCCTGTAGAAACATCACTTCCTGCAACACCAGCAGTTCAGAATGGTCTGATTAAACCACAGTTAATTTGGTCTAAAAAAAAAAAACAGTCTTATTTCTATTAATATGATATCACAAAGCATAGCCAGTGAGCCTGCAAAGGACCTGAAGAGAAAACATGAAGGTGATGAAAGCCTGCCCTCCATGTAACTTACACTTGATGTGAGCTCCAAGGACAGCACTTACACAGTGTCCTGGGTGTTCTCAAGCTGAATGAGGAAAACAGTATTGATGAGTACACTGTGCTTCTCATTTGGAACACTCTACTTCTGTAGGACTAGTAATGGGTTTCATCAACTTTTATGTGTAAACCAAAAATTGTCATTTATCAATTAAAAAAAATTATTTTCCTTACAAAAATTTCATACCACAAATTGACTGTCTCATCCTCATCCGCATTCAATATCATGACCATTTTGTTCATTTGTTTATTCCTGCCTGGTGAATGAGAGCAATTTATGTGATAAAATATAGGAAAACTACACTTTCTCTTTCTCTTAACAGGACAGAGATTCTTACCAAAAGGATGACCCATGGTGGCTTCGTGTATCGTGGGGTCAATGCTCTGCAGGCCAAAATCACCCTTATTGAAAGGTACCCAAATAGGAATGAATGCTATGTGAACCCCTTATTTGTTAGCCCAGAGACTAGGGTGCTGTTGTTTGTACCCACCTTCCATGTGTGTTGCAGTGGGTCTGTGACCTGCCATTTTGAGCCTCTGTTTGCCAGTTCTGAATGAAGCTGATAGAGTGAAGTTACCTGTTTCCCAGTGTTCTCTGGAGTAGGAGTGATAATGAGAAGCCATACTTACTGTGTACTCATTTAAGGGTGTTAGTTCAGGCTGTAAAGCTATCCCTATGGGTATGTTATTCCTGTCCATTGGGAATTGGAGATAGAAAAGTTAGACAGCCAGCTGTACCACAGTGACACTGTTGGTGTGACTGTTTGGTTTTTGTCTTGTTCTGGAGCCCGCCACCAGAGTCCAACAGTTCCTGAGTGGGAAGTAAGGATTGAAAGAAAATTAAAAAACAAAAAAACACTATACCTGGGATCTGTCCAAGAGGACTGCCATTAGAAACTGTTACACCGGTTTATTCTACAGTCCCTTTTCATAGTCAGAGCAAAGCACTCAGTACAATGAAGGGGTTCGTGGAGTAGTCAAATTTGTTTACCTCGACCACCTGTGTGATCCTCACACAAACAAAAGGAATTGAACTTGGCAAAACACCTGGCCTATCCCTGACTCCAGGTGAAGGCCAGGGTGAAAACATGTTTTTCACTGAGAGCTCACTAACAAAGCAGCCTGACAAACAAGCGGCTCTCCACGGCTCTGACACGGTCCCTGTCTTTGGAGAGGTAGTCCCAAGGCAAGTGGAGGCATGACAATCTGTGTGACACCTGTGAGTCTGGCAGACCTAGGCCCAAGTTGCTGGAGGAACAGCAAGCACAACAGAGGCCCTGTTGTGGCCATCCTGTCCAGCTTCAGTTCCAGCACTCTGCCATGTGTTGTACTGGCTGGCTCTCCCCAACCCTCCCTTCTGCAGGAGAGACATTAGCAGATCTAAGGAGATATCTCAGGTTAGGCAAGACTGGGGTCCTGGGTCTTACCACATGATAGTCATGACAAATAAAGTTGATGGCCCAGTTTCTTAGGTCTGTTTACTTGTCTGCAGAGTGGAGCTGAAGAACTGCACATATGATGCTAACATTTCTTGAATAGTATACTGTTCTTGGGGGTCAGTGTTAACTGGAGAGGTGGCTTTTCAGCCCATCTCCATAGTTCACGCTCTGACCTAGGGCTAACATTGGGCTAATCTGGACAGTGTCCCTGGGGGTACTGGAATGGGTTGAATGCCCTTGGCCTTTCAGCTCTTGGTATTCTGTGAGTGTATGGAGGTGGATTTTACTTGAAATTTTTATTTTTTTCTTGTAGGTTGTATGAACTAAATGTGAATGATGCTAATGAAATAGACTGGGAAGACCTTGCTAGTGCCATAGGGTAAGAACATTTATTGAACATTAAGCGTAATCAATAGAGTTTTTACAATAAGTTTTCCTTATTGTGTGTATGTACAAGTACGAGTGTGCAAGTGTGTGTACAGTGCACACATGGAGGTTGGAAGATGTGCGACTCAGTCTCACCTTCATTGAGTGCGTTGTTGGGATCAGACTCAGCTTACCAGGTTCTATGGCAGAACCAGAGTTAACGTTTACTACTTGACTCCCTGTCACAGTTTAGCAGGCCTACAATCCATGTTGTGTGTGGAAGGGAGGTGGGTGGAGAGACACTCAGACTATAAAGTGTTTGCCGCAGAGCACAAGGGTCTCGGTCCAGCCTCAGCATGTGTCAGAGCTGGACAGGGTGGGCAGAGATAGGAGGATCGCCCTGAGCTCCAGACTGTCTCAAAGGATAAAGTGGACAAGCTAGAGGAAGACACGTGACTTCAACCTCTGTCCTCCACACATAGACTAGCATACACTGGATCATCTCTGGACCTTATGCTTCACTTTGCTCTGCTTTTGCTGTCTTCTGTGGTGGGATCTTGCTGTGTAGCTCAGACTGGCCTCAAATTCCCCACCTTTTGGCCTTCAATTCCAAGAACTGGAGAACTTTTCAGGGCTAGTGTGTTGATTATTACACAAAAGCTGGTTTTCCCTGTGTAAAACTTGACAGTCAGTAATACCATTCCACTGCTTCTGGATGTGGGCTGCTGGCCCTGAACCAGGGCTGTAGAGCTTCTTCAGAAAAACAACTCTATAGATAAGAGAAAACAGTTTTCCACAAAGATTAATTCAATAAATCTTTGTGCTTCTAAAGAACAACTATTCCTTCTGATGTCTACCCTAGGTACAGTGAGAAACAACTGTGCCATTCTAATGTTTACCCTGGATACAATGGTTCTGCTAGAATTCCAGTGCAGGCAGGAGGACCAGGAGTCATCCTTGACTACAGGCCTGCATAGAATACAGGAGACTATCACAAAAAGAATTGATTACATGTGTTCACTGTCCTTTTTTTTTTCTCTCTCTCTCTCTCCTTTTCTAAAGGGATGTCCCTCCACCTTTTGTTCAGGCAAAATTTTATAAGCTGAAAGCCGCCTGTGTTCCTTTTTGGCAGAAAAAGACTTTTCCAGGTCAGTATTACAAACCCTTGAAGAGTATGTGGTATCCTGGTTTGGTGGTCCCAGCAATAGGGAGGCAGAGGCAGGGGAGTGAATCTCTGTTAGAGGCCAGCCTCTGCTACACAGCAAGGTTACATGGACCACTTGAGACCCTATCGCAATAAAAAAAAAAAAAAAAGAAAGAAAAGTGGGTTCCTGAGCCTCCTCCGCTTCGGGCTGAGTGCAGGTGCCGAGACAAGCTTGCAGGGAGGTCTGAAGACTGCCACTTCTGTGCACAGTGAAGGTCCTACTGCCTCGCCTACCTCCTTGTCGGGGCCACAGCTTGCCAAGCTTCCTACTGCCTCCAGGCCTCGGTGTCCTTCTTGGAAAGACTGATTAGAGGGAGTTGGGGAATTGTCTTGGTAAACTGTTTATTCTGCAGCTGTGTGTGCACCAGAGCGTGGATCACCAACATGCACATATGGAACTGGGCATGGCAGTACACACTATAAGTCCAATTTTGGAGAGACAAAGATAAGAGGACTCCTAGAACTCCCTGGCTGTCCACTCTAGCCAAAGCTACAGAGCTACGAAGCTACAGGTTCAGTGAGACACTGTCTCGAGAAATGAAGCAGAGACAATGAGGAAGCACCTGACATCAGCCTCTAGCCTCCACACGTGTGCACTGTGTGTTCATCTATATACATGTATACATAGAGACATAACACATATGTACACCAGAGAGGGCCACATGCCCAAAAAAAAAAAAAAAAATAGAATAATGTGTGCCTCATAGGGTTTTTTCAAAGACTACGCAAAGACTGTTCACCAGCTAAAGTGGATCTTGCCTGTGGTAATGGGTGTGGGCATTATTGTTAAAGTCCTTCGTCCTTGGACCTTAATTAGAGGCTTGTACAAATAATTCCAAAATGACCTTTTCTGCAGAGATCATCGACTACTTATATGAAACCAGTCTGCCTTTGCTGAAGGAAAAGTTAAATAAGAAGATGGAGAAAAAGGACAGCCAGATCCAAACGCCCTTGGCTCCCAAACAAGACTTTCTGTTCAAAGACATCTTCTATTACGATGAGGACAGCGATGGGGAGGGCTTAGAGGAGCCCAGGTAAGTGCAGGTCCCTAGTTCTTGTCCCATTGCTTTAGTCTACTTATGTCTGTGCATGTGTGTTGGTCAACTCTCAACTGCATCTAAGCTCCCGATTTGCTCACTTCAGAGCAAGAAGACCTCACTTGGGCTCTGCCTGCTGTGGTTCTAGTCCATGCCTTGGAGCTATTACTCCAGGCCTGTGGAGGCAGCACACTGTGTTTGGAACAAATAACCAGTGAGTTATTTACCTCATAGCCAGGAAGCAAAAAGAACAAGGGGATCCCATAATCCCTTTGAAGGCTCACTTTCATTGCCTTAAGAACTCCCAGGAGGAACCACAGTCTCCCACTGACACTGTCCTGGGACCTAACCTTTAACATGTAAGTCTTAGGAGAGTGGTCCAGATCTGACCAGGCAGGAAGATCTTCAGGCCTGATATTTGTTAAAAAGAGTGTGATGATGCAAGCACATTGCTGAGTTCAAGGCCAGCCTAGTCTATTGAGTGAGGTCCAGGACAGCCAAGGCTACAAAACAGAAACCCTGTCTTGAAAAGCCAAAAAAGGAAAAAAAAAAAGATGTGATGGAGCTGGGCAGTGGTGGCAAACACCTTTAATCCTAGCACTCAGAAGGCAGAAGCAGGGCAACGGATCTCTGAGTTTGAGGCCAGACTGGTTACATAGTGAGTTCCAGGACAGCCAGGGCTATACAGAGAAACCCTGTCTTAAAAACAAACAAACAAATAAAATGGTGTGGTGGATGGACAAACATTAAAAATACGCTGGGGGCTGGTAGAGGACTCTGCCAGTGGAGTTCTGGCTCAAAGGGCAGTTGGATCCCCCACACTCACATAAAAAGCTGGGCCTGGGCACGGTGGCACAGGCCTGTTGCCCGTTCGTGGGCTGTAGAAACAGGAGGATCTTCAGGGCAAGGTGAGTAGCTGACTCCAGTCGGCACATCGTAGGGCCAGTAAAGAAAGGAGGCGAGCAGGACAGTCCTGAGGAACAACACCAGAGACTGTCCTCTCGCCTCGACATGCACTTGCAAGTGTGTGCACTGAATGCCCACGCACACATGCACATCTTTCACAGTATTCACGTTACAGTCTGTGATTGTGAGAAGCACAGTGTGAGCTGATTGAATAGACTACTTCAGTACCGTTGTATTGCAACAGGTACCCTGCTGACCCCATTGAACCAAAACAGCCCCTGGCCCTGCGGTTGCAGCATAGAGCACTCTATGCCCAGAAAAATGAGAAAGCCGTCCTCTCCTGATAGTGTCCCTCTGTTCTCTTCCAGTGCCTCAGACATGCAGTGACGATCTCCTGCCTCTTCCCTTGGACTGGTCTCTGTTCCCTTGGACCTCTAGCTGTGCATCTCCTATTCTGGGTAGACTGCTGGTGGCCATGGAGCCTACTTCGTAGGGTGCCTCTCCTATGCTGGCCACCAGATTTCATGGTGTTCTGTTGGAATACTATGTTCTTGGTAGAAGCCCAGCCCTTAGTCTTGGAAGAGTGTTCAGCTGGAGCACAGCTCCCACTAGATTCTTAGAACAGGGTGAACGGGACCTCTTCCATCACTCAGGAAAGCAAATCCAGCTGTAGGTGTTTCAGAGTGAGTACTTAGGGTTTAGGTAACAAAAAGTGTTCCACAAGATCTTTGTGTGGTGATACACACTGCACTGTGGAGATAGGTAGAGAGGTCAGAAGATTGAGCCCAAGCTGGGCTACATTGTCAGACCCTGTCTCAAGCATATGCACACACACACACACACACACACACTGTTAAGTGGCATGCTAGAGCAGCCTCCAAAAGGAGAAGGAGAAGTACATTGTGCAGAGAGCAAGCAGGCGCTGCAGAGCTTTGTAGCCCTGCAGGCCTCCACTTCCTCATGTTTCCACCAGCTGCTCCCTCCCCATATCCAGGCTGCCCACAGCTGCTGCCCTGCAAAGAAATGTGTCCATGTGTGACCCTTAGCAAAATTCTGCTGCAAGGGAGTCTGGGACACCCAGTGTTCAGAATTGTCCCATCTGTGCTGAGCAACATAGAGAAAGGAAAGTGTGGCTGATGAAACTGCTGTCTCCATTGATGCCACTGAGCAATTGACTGACCCCCATGAACTCTCAGATGTCATTTCTGTGGTACCAACAGAAGATGGGCTAGACCAGTCACAGTGAGAAGGAGGCACACTAATGGAAACTTCTTGCCACTGTACCTTAGCACTTCCATAGACATGCAAATGTCAGTGAGTAATCAGGGTGCATGTAACCAGAATTCAGGTGGGGAAAGGAGGATTGGGAATTTAAGGTGGTCCTTGCAAATAGCAGGTTCTAAGCCAGCTTGGACTACAGAAGACCCTATCTTGAACAAACACATACAAACATTGAATAAATGATGTTATTTTACTACATGGTTCTTTACCCAGCCCTGTCTGTTCCTCAGCCATTTTAGTTTCAGTGCTGACAGGACTAAATTATTTCTACAGAAATAATAACACTAATGTATAAACAAATTCTATGTAATAGAAGAAAAAAGTTAAATATTCTTTCATAGGAACTATGTTGTTATAGTATGGTCCTAGAATGAAAAAGCATATGTTAAGTTAAAATGAAAACAGTATATTTTACATGAAAGTATATTTTTGTGAATAGTTCAGTGAAATATATATTTTCTCAGTTTTGTAAAAATGAAAAATAAAAGCCATAGGTTATTTATGTAGATGTATGAGGAATGACCCGAATACTGGCTCAGTGCACGGTTCACAGAGTAGAACCCAGAGACCCAGAGTAGTCTTCGGGTCCCAGGGAACTGCCAAAACTACCCACAAAACTCACCCAGGACTGCATCAAATCTCTGTCATTCTCCATCTGGGAGGGGCCTTCCTGGAATTTATCAGGGGTCCTGGAGCTTGGCTTCTCAACAGAGAACGAGAATTCCGTTTCTCTCAGGGGCAGCTAGAGCATTTTAGGGAAAGGCCTGAGTGTGCGAGGCTGGGAGTGGAAAAGTATTCAGCTCTTTTAGAACAAGATCACTGGTGGCAGTGGAAGCTCAGGCATTCCAAAGCCTGAACATGTGGTGAAACCAAAATGTTACAGCTCTTAGTTAAGCTGCTGTGCTGAGCATGGCAGCAGTGTCGGCAGAAGTCTATACTTGGTCAGCTGGCAGCTAGGGCACAGGCCACCTGGCAGACTGGAAGGCAGGTCCAGTGAGGCCGGCCTGCCAGCAGCGAATAAATGACAAATCTCAGGTGGTCATGGTAGAAGTCAGCCCGTTTATTTGAAATCAGGGATTTATAAACCTTGGGCAGTGGGAGGATGTTATACTAAATATTAAAGAAAAAAGAAAAAAATGAGTGTTGGACTATGTATTTATTATTATTTGCCCTAGGATTATCACAGCAGTATTATCTAACCTGCTATCAAAAATAATTTAAGACACGGACACCTGTTAGATTTTCTAATTGCCTTACCTTGGGCCAGTGTTGTAGGCGGTGATTAATATTTATTATTGATTTATCTTCTGGCAATGCTGCTGTTAGTCCTAAACAGCTGTATACCCAAATCACCGCACAGAGACTGGGTTTATTTAGTTAACCTAGAACACAGTGCTGGACAATAGTTGTTCCATCTTAAACCTCCAAGTCCTCATAGTTTCCTAACATTTGGATTTCCCACATTATACTTGCTTTTAGTGATATACTAGGTTCAGTCCATCTCTCCATGCTGTTCCAAGATCTCTCTCCTCCAGCCCCCTCTCCTCCCTCCCCTCTCGCCTTCTCCCACTCATTTCCTGCCTTCTAGCTCCTCCTCTCTTTCCTGTCCTCTGTCTCCTCCCATTGTACAACATTGTAGCTAGTTGCTTTATTTTGGCCTAAACTGTTTACACACAGTTGAGACAGGATTCTTAGAATGAGTATCACAATGCAATATCCGGGTTGAAACCAGAGAGTAGGGGGGAGAAATCAGCATTTGAATGAACAAGGGTAAGGTACATACGTTTCAAAAGAACATTATACCAACATTTCCCCCTTTAAGTCCAATAAAAGGCTCCTTTTATTTCAATACAATAATAATTATGAAAACTGTTGGGTAAAATTACATGTGCAATGTCCAGTCCATGTGTATTTAGCACATGGAGAGAGTATCTTAGGAGACAGTATCTGATAATCCTATCTATCTTGACAAGTTAAAAGTTCTATACCTATATTAACTTATTTTTATTGGTATTACCTATATGAAAAGATTTTTAAACTTCTAAATAACTCAAGCTTAATTGTGGCACAATAACTATTTGATCTTCAACCCCATCAGAGATTTGAGAAGGAATAAAATTAGTTACTTGAGTAAGTAGGAAGTGCATGTTAGCAGCTTCCAAAAAATAAAAATTGACAGTTTGCTGCCTGAACAGTCACCCATAACTGTAACATTGGAGCATCATCTTCAGCCTTCAGGCTCAGAATATTTGACAGACATATATGAGAAGCAGGAACTATTTAGGACTTGCTTACCCTGTCTTGGCAGAGTTCAGCAGTCGACTTGTCCTGCATTTAAGCTTGCCCATTTTAGGCAGAATTTGTCTGTCATGACGTGAGGGTATTTTCTTTACCTGAGTGGCTTGTTTGCCACATTCAAAGCCATCTCCATATGGAGGTTCTTCAGTGCTCATTATCTTCTTTCAGGTAGGTGGGGTGCTGCCAGGAAATGACCTGTCTCATTGTCAAAGAATCTTTAAAATAATAAAGACACTTTTAAATGCCATATTCTGTGGGTCTCTGAAGTTTTTGAAGACTACCTATCTTTATGTGATCCATCTGTATACAAAATCATATTTATCTGTTAAACCTAGGATGTATTCTTCTGTGATAAATTAGACTAGTGTCTGACATGACTATAAGTTCACTAACTAGCAAAAAAAATTGCATTACCTAATACCTTAACCTGTTTTTAATAGCTGTTTAAAAGTATTGGAAGTAACCTTGACTTTCTATCAATATTCAAAAGCTTATACCAATGTTTCAAAAATAGACTTATTTTTGTATCAATATGCAAAATCCTATACCAGAGTTAAAATTAACCTTATTTGGGAATAACAAATAAAACCCTAAGTTGAGTAGATTCAATAATCTACCTTTTTTCCATTCCTATAAGATATCCCTGTATATTCCTTGTTTATTGTCATCTCCCAATGACAATAAAATTTCATAGCCATAGCAAACAATCAAAAACATACCCAATGCCCTTTAAGGAAAACTGGACGCCGTTCTCATGAGTTTCTTCTAGCTGACATTTTGGACATGTAGAAATCCTGTAGGGGACCCAAATAAAATCAGGAAAAAAATGGTTAATTAAGCAAACAATAACATTTGTGGTCCAGTCTTTGAATGCTGAGAAATTTCAGGCTTAATAAAAGTCCTCTTTGGAACAGTTTAAAATGCTGGACCAATTAAGATTAGTAGCTTTCTTCAAAGTTCTTTTGGGAGCAGGCTTTATGAGTAACAGCGATTGAAGCATTTGAAGCAGGAACAGGCAGAATGCTGGAACATGCAAGATGCTGGAACACATGTGTCAAATGTCCCAGCATACTGAAGAATGAATCCTTCAGGTTTGATCCAGCATCTCTGGTGTCCACTTCTTTTGTTCTGCAAACATATAATTTCTCACAAGCATTATAGAGTTCTAAAATTATCAATGTATGGGATGTGCAGGATGAAACTAAACTGTAAACCAATTTAATCTATATCAATTAAAAGGTTAGCATAATACATTTTAAGGCTATTATAGCCAAGGATTTATTGGCCAAGTATTGTTGAAGTTTTGGCTGGAGACACAGTTTTATGTCTCAGTCACTCTTAAGAGTTGTTCCCATGTAAAGGGATTAGCAATAAAGTTACCATTATTATTGAACATACAATCATCATCAAAACAAGGTTGAACAGATTAAAATATCTTTTCGGGCTCTTGTGTGCTTGTTGTATTAGGCCAAGTTGCTACCTATTTCCCTAGAGAAGCCTCCCATTAAAGAAATAAGCTGGTTACCTTGAGCAATAGAAAAATGCATCTTTTAAGGAAACTTTATATAAACTCCTTTTTAATTTAGAATATAAGCATACCATAGGTATCTTGTACGTGTTTTGAGGTTTAGCTCTAGATTTTTATATATGTTGTAGCTATTTGTCCTATCCCCTTGTTTATATAGAATGGGCAGTTATGCCTTTATAGCCAAACTTTACTTAAACTCCCTCTTACCTTTAGCATTTAAGTATAACCTAGGCATCTTGTGAGAGACCAAAAGATAAATTAGCTATTATTAAGACCTGAAGTAGGTGAGTGGAGAAGTCCAGTAATGCCCTGAGGGGAAGGACCGCCTTACTGCATTCTTTCCCCACCCACTAGAGATAACAGTTACTAGGAAACTGGCCCATCCCCCTAGGGAGGGACACCAGGTCATTATGGTCTGGGGACCTTCCTATAGCCAATCAATTCAAAATGTAACATTTTGACCAATAGATGCTTGCCAGGCAGGAATTGGGCATGCTGGGAGGGACCAGAATCAAATATCACCCAACTAACCTGGGCGCAGAGCGCTCAGCTCCCAGCGCTTTGGCTGTGGGTGTTGTGGGCCCTAGCTGCAGCTTGTAATTTACAATAAAAAGACCCTCATGTGTTTTGCAACGAAGTCTATTCCTGTAGATCTTTTGGGGGCTCGTGAACTGGGTGTAACACTTGTACCTGGGTTTTACATTGTTTATGGCTATATTTTGGCTTGCCCCTTATTTATACAGGATGGGCAGTTATGCCTTTATAGTCGAACTTTATATAAACTCTCTTAGCATTAGCATATAAACTCTCTTACCCTTAGCATTAAGTATATCATAGGCATCTTGTACCTGGCTTTTACATTGGTTTTGGCTATACTTTGGCTTGCCCCTTTTTTGATATGGGATGGACAGTTTTGTTTTTTAAATATAAGAATATAATTTTTGAGTTTTTAGGACTAAACTAGGTTGGCACGTACTTTGCCATCGTTAAGCCTCTTGTGTCTTTTTTACATAGGCATGAACAACATTTTTCACCCATGAAAATGTCTCACGTTTAAAAGGATAAGGCAGTTTTCAGAGCAGTGTGACATTATCTCTCTTTACATAAACCTAAAAATTATGTGAATCCAACGTTTAGACCAGTAAGGATATAACATCTATTATTAAGAAAAAATAATTTACATGGTAACCTTAAGGATTGTCATTTTGAATCTTTGAGTATCTCTGCAAATGGCTAAACAGCAGGAGTTGTCATCCTGGCTTTTATTATGTAAATAAGCTTGATCCAGAACTCATAAATCTGCCTGTTTCTTTTTACTTTGTGTTGGGAAGAAAGGCATGTGCCTTCACCAACTTGTTCAGATATATATATATATATATATATATATATATATATATATATATTTTTTTTTTCCAAATCATTATTATTGTAACTCAAAGCCTTTAAATGAAAATCAAGCAAAAAGACAAGAAAATTTTAAGTTTGGGGTCAGTTGTGCCAATTTATGCTGCAACAAACAAAGCCCAGTTGGTTATTTTAGTTGGTGTTTTAGTGAATTGGCAGACCCTTACCAGAAAGAGCTGACAAGTATCTTGCAGCCAGAGAGCTTTGGATTTTAGCCATTATTAACCTAATTATTAGGAAGAGTGGCCTTTTTCTTGTCTGTAACTTAATACCCCAATCCTTGGCTTTTTCCACATTTTCTCCTTGAACTTTCTTGGAGAAGGTATGGAAAAGAACCATCACCATTAAACACATTGCAACCAGATCCACGAATATGACAGTCAAAATGAAGCCAAAAGGGATTTAAAAACCCTCTGCCATGGCAATTTTTTTATTTTAGATGCAGTTTAGGCCAAACTCTTACCAGAGGTTTGTCTGCCTCCAGTTCCTTTCTTTCCTGCTATGGCTGTGGAGCTAAGCCAGTTGAACCAACCATAGTATAAAGGAGCCATGCTTGTTTACCCCTCAGTTAAACCGCAGCAGCAGCCAGTTTTGTTAAGTCTCAGGTCTACCCAGGGGAGGCTGTCTTTTGCTCCTGGTCTGGTTTAAGAGTCTGTCTTAAAAGAGACAGTAATTGACCTGGGAGTTTTTAGATTTTAAGTTTGGGTTTTATCACTGGGAGCTTATTCCCCCCCACCAAATTATGATAAAGTATGATTTAAAGGGTGTGGATACTTAAGATTAGTTGGGTGCCATTTGTTGTAGGCAGTGATTAATATTTATTATTGATTTATCTTCTGGCAATGCTGCTGTTAGTCCTAAACAGCTGTATACCCAAATCACCGCACAGAGACTGGGTTTATTTTTTTTAATTTTTTTAAAGATTTATTTATTATGCATACAGTGTTCTGTCTGCATATGTGCCTGGCACCAGATATCACTACAGATGGTTGTGAGCCACCATGTGGTTGCTGGGAATTGAACTCAGGACCTTTAGAAGAACAGCCAGTGTTCTTAATCTCTGAGCCATCTCTCCAGCCCGAGATTGGGTTTATTTAGTTAACCTAGAACACAGTGCTGTACAATAGTTGTTCCATCTTAAACCTCCAAGTCCTCATAGTTTCCTAATATTTAGATTTCCCACATTATACTTGCTTTTAGTGATATACTAGGTTCAGTCCATCTCTCCATGCTGTCACCTTCTCCTCCCACTCATTTCCTGCCCTCTAGCTCCTCCCCTCTTTCCTGTCCTCTGTCTTCTCCCATTGCACAACATTGTAGCTAGTTGCTTTATTTTGACCTAAACTGTTTACACACAGTTGAGACAGGATGCTTAGAATGAGTATCACAATGCAATATCCGGTTGAAACCAGAGAGTAGGGGGGAGAAATCAGCATTTGAATGAACAAGGGTAAGGTACATACATTTCAAAACATTATACCAACAGGCCAGGCAAATATTCCTATCCATGCTGCTGTCTAAATCATGTCACTATCCATCCACAATCCCCATCCAATGCCATCCTTCCTAGCCATTCTATCTTCCATCCATAATCTTATAAATACTTGCTTTTATTCTTCATCTGGGCCTTTTCATGCCATTAGTCCTTCCTCCTGGCCCCACATGGTTTCTTCTCCAGGCTAACCCAACATGGCATCCTTCTTCCTCTCTTCCTCTCCATCCCTGTCCCTGTCATTCTTGCTTGAACCCAAAAGCCCGAGAACCTTAGCCACCGACCCTATTCTGCCCTGCATAGGTACAGGTTATTTAATCAACCAATCAAGTATGTCTTGGGCAGGTTTGCAAAACCACAATAGGTGTAACAATCTTGAGAGCCAGTACCACACGAGACCAACCTCCAACAGGAGGGATTTTGAGGGTGAATGTGTTTGCAGGGTCAGAGGGTCAGGGATACTTGATTTACATGTAATGGTACAGTGTTCCATTTTCCATGCAGTAGTGTGGTCCTATCACAAGAAGAAAAATACAGTATTTAATTATCCTAGGGGTGAGGGAAAAATCTCCAAGTTCAGTCGAAGATTACTGCTGAAGACTAAGCTCCTTAACAGGGTGGGACACTTCTAGGAATTCACAGATGCTTGATGGACTGGTTTCCTTATCAGGAAAGGGTCTGGCCTTGAGGGCTGTATGATGTTCCTTATAAGACCTGAGTTCACCCAAATGGGGTTTGAGAGGGAGGGAGGGTTAGGGCCTCCCTGAGAAGGGAGTCCACCATCATAGACCAAGCGTAAATAAATGGCTATCCAGAGATGTCA